TGTGTTTTCAATATATTAACTTTATATCCTGAGAGGTGCCTGTACGTTTCTAAAAGTTCAGTACAGGGAGTGATTTGTTCGGTTTTTCTAAGAAGGCTATGACATCATCAGCAAAAAGTCCTATTTCGTGTTCTGTTCCGTTCACCATTACTCCCTCCAGTTCTTCGTTTTGACGAACTGCTTGCGCCAGCAGTTCTACGAAAAGAGCGGACAAAGTGGGTGATAGGCAACAACCCTGTCTGGTAGACTTTTGCAAATTGATTTTATCAGTCAGACTTCCATTTATTTTAATTTTGGCGGTGGGCTGTTGATATAGAGTCTTTATGCATTGTACTGATTCACTGTTAAATCCTCAATATATCTTTTTATTGCTGCTTTTACTTTCTCTCTTCTTTGTTCATTATTTAAAATTCCTACATTGAGTCTTCATACTGTGTGTCTTTTCCTGTTGTTTGTTAATTTTCAGGTAGAGAGGGTTATGGTCTGACACATCTGCAGCCCCGATCTCACATTCCTTCACTCTGAAGCTGTCACTCTGATACACCAGGAATTAATCTATCCGTGAATGAACTTTATGTGCAGCTGAATAATGTGTAAAATCCTTATCCAGAGGATGTAGGTTTCTCCATATGTCTACCATCCCCATCTCCTCCAGTGATGTTTATAAATCTCGTTAACTGCCCTTAAGTCCTTTTGAGGCTCATTGTGTCCATATTATGATTCATAATAACATTCAAATCTCCCCCACATATTAAGATTCCCTCTGCTTCAACAGCTATGACATCAAACAAAGTTTTTATCGCTCTCAGGGGGTGCATATATATTTATCAATGTTATTGGTTCGTTTTCTAATCTACCCTTTACTATAATATCTCCCCTACCTATCTTTGAGCTCCTTCTCACAATCAAATTGAATCATGTTTGATATTAAAGTTATAACCCCTCTTCTGCATCCTCCTTTGTATGAACTGTAATATAGATTCCTGTAGCCATATCTTTTTAGTTTATTGTGTTCTGACTGTGTTAAATGGGTCTCCTGTAAAAATATGATTTGTGCTTTTTCCTTCTTCAGTTTTGTCATAACCCTCTCTTTTTTCTTTGGTATGTTCAGACCATTTACATTCAGTGACATTATTTTGACATTGTTAGATGACATTATGATATACTACTCCCAGAAAGTGCACTCCCAAACAGTTCTGAACTACACACTCATAAACAGTTGGTAACATAATAGAACTCCGAAAAGACAGCTTCAAAAGGTGGGGGGGTCGCTCCTTCCTCCCCAAATCCCAGTTGGTGGGTGAAGGGGAAGTCCTCGTCTCAAAGAAAGGGCCCATTCTAGACCTAAAACTGAGCCCGGCTCTCGCTGTCTAGATAAGTCCAACTCAAATAACCTGACCACTCCCAGTCGGTTCTTATTAGCTTTAAATAAAAAAACAAAACAAAAAAGCCTGATCAGATAATCCCACTGTGGATCCATTTTTCTGAATCAGTCATTTAAATCCAAGATGTGGACATGGTCTCATTCAATAATCTACAGATAATGTTTGCTGCGTTTAAGCCCTTTCATCACCTCTTTTCTTCTGTCTAATGGTGTTGTTTGTCATTGTCCATACCTGTATTGTCTCAAGTCCACTTTTTGTTTTTTTCCCATCAAAGCCTCTTTAAGATCTCCATTGAAAACCTTGTAGTTTTTGTCTCGCTCGGTGCGTTGTATCCAGGCTCCGTCTTTGCCCCATCACCCGCTGCCATTCCGGCACTCCTGGCTCCCTCCCGCCCGCCACAGGTTCGGTGTCCTCGCCTGACATATCCACGGTGTAGCCTCTTTCCTCCATGTCTTGTGCAGCTTCTCTGGCGCTCCCATACGTCTTCACACCGTTGTTCTAGTGAATCCGGATTTTTGTGAGCTGTGTCTGGAAACGTATTCCTTTTTCCTTTAATACTTTCTTGATGCCCACATATGTCTTCCGTTTCTGAACGATTTCAGTGGGATAATCATGGTCAAAGAAAACTTGTTTTCCGCCCACCTGTATCTTCTTCTGCCATGCCCTCCTTAAGACCGTTTCTTTCATCTCAAACTGTAGGAAGTTGGCCACGATTGACCTGGGAGCGGCACCCGGTCCTGGTTTTGGGGCGAGGGCTCTGTGTGCTCTTTGGATCTGAAGATTAGTCCCCTCAGGCAGCTGTTTTTAGCAGTTACATCCTCCGCGTCCGCCTGCCACTCTTCCAGCAACCCCTATGCTTTTTTTTCTCCGCTGCACCTTCCCCGTGTTTGCTAGCTCTAGTAGCGCTAGCAACACTCTCGGAGATTTCTTCCATTACGAGTTGTTTTTCAGCTTTGTTTGGCTTTTCAATGTTTTTCATGGCTTGCTTTCATCTGTCGAGTTACAATTATTTGTGGATTTCTTAAACCGCCTTGGGAGAGCTCGTTAATTAAGCGTCTCCCCTCTCCACCATGTTCCCGGAAGTCCCTCTCGCTGGGCAGTTTTCACCACCCTCTGCAGAGTTTTCCGGTCTGAGGCAGAGCAGTTTCCATACCAGACTGTGATGCAGTTGGTAAGAATGCTCTCGATGGTGCAGCGGTAGAAGTTCACCAGAATCTGATGAGACAGATATGCCTTCTTGAGTCTCCTCAAGAAGAAGAGTCGCTGCTGAGCCTTCCTGATCAGGGTTGAGGTTTTTATGGTCCAAGAGAGGTCCTCAGAGATGTGGACACCCGGAAACTTGAAGTTGGAGACACGCTCTACCTCGGTTCCATTGATACAGTGTGTGCCGCACAGCGGGGCATCCACAGCACTTACTGTTTGGCCGTGGCATAATTCCTGCCCTGCATTTCCAAGTTTGTCCACTGTAAGCAGTTAAAGTCTCAGTTGAAGTGTAATACCTGAACATATTTTACTTGTACACCGAAACATCCAGTGCCTGGATGGAAGATTTCAGTCTAAAACTTTGATTTAGAAAGGGTGTTACTTTGTCAAGTTGTTAAGTGCCATTGGAAGTGAAGTCACTCAAAACAGCTGAAAGATAAGTCCTGAAAGCTGTTTACATGTCAATTGGAGAGTGGGAGATGAAAGCAGTTCAAATGTCGGTTGGTGTCTAACTGTTAAAAGCACATCAGTTGTCAGTTGAACCATAACTGATGAAGTGGGTTTTCTGCACTGTAAGCTATGACACTGTAAGTGTCAGTTGGTATATGAGTCAGAAATGGAATATATTATTTATAGGTATGTTTTCATTAGTGTATAATCAGCAGAAAATAAGGAATCTTTGTGTTTTTGTGTGTATTCATTGCCAGGGTGAAATGTGGACAGCGCAGGATGTGCCGCACACAAGGCGAAAATGCAAATCTTCTTTGCCACTGGAAGCAAAGTTGTTTTTTGTTGTTTTTTTTTTTAATGCATAGAATGGACAGTTAGATCTGAAATCTGTCAGTTGACATGTAACAGGTGAAAGCAGTGCAGGCGTCATCAGTGTAAGCAATGAAAGCCCTTGAAATTTCAGTTGTTGTGTAAGATAATAAAACAGCTGACTGTCCTGTTGCCTTGAGGACCAAGACTCAGAACCAACAAGAACTCTTATATGACTGAGTTTAACTTTGCAGCCATTGCTCTCCATTCCTTTCACTATGGTAAGAATCTATCTTGTCTGTGTATGATTATGGACATGGTAGTTGTTATCTCCATGAATGTATGTATTTCTGCTCTTGCTCCAGGTACATTCAGAACTCTCAGCCCTACCTTAACAACATGACCGCAGTGGGCTGCATGATGGCCCTGGCTGCTGTCTTCCCTCTGGGAATCGACGGCCTTCATGTCCACAGGAGGCAGTTCCCCGTCGTCTGCCAGGTACAATTTGAAAGTCACTCCAAACACATTGATTTCATTTCAAACTTAAAAACTGCCAAAACTGAATATGCATTCACTATGGAAAGTAGGGTTTCAAATAATGATTATTGCTATTGTCAATTTGATGTAAAAAAAAAAAAATGTTTTAAATCAATAAAAAGTTGCCCATAAGTAAGGGTGTAAAGATTTTTACCGAAATGAGTCGGAAATTGGTTTTATTGGATTGGATTCTATAAGGAATGAAAGTTGGACCAAAGTATATCCATTTGTAAGATCTGTCAGTGAGTACAGCAGTCTCACCTGGTGAGATGGCGTGGTGACACCTATGCAGGCGACGAGGAGGCCCTAGCATAAACAAGAACACGACAGACACAAATATTAAACACTTTCCAGCAACAACTTAGCTGCAACTGAGCGAGGTCTAAGGTAATTACGGCAGAAAGTCTTAAATAAACCAATAAACACAATGACATGTGATTCTGAAATAAGACATTTGTCAATTTTGCATCGCAATCAGATATCTTTATTCTACTGCTGGTATTTTGCCTCCGCACATGGGTTTGCTTTTCCCATCCAGACAAGGCAAAACGTGATGCAGCATCCTCTACTGCATTCATTCCCAGAGACTGGGGAGATTTTATTTGGGTCGCAATAAATTTAAATAAATTTGCTGCTAAAACACTTATTTTTTTTATTTATAAAATCTACAAAAACATTGTTTTGGGGATAATGGAAAAAAGAGACCCTTAACACTAAATTGTCTCTCGTGTAAGGAGCATGTTAACTGCAATGCATTTATTCTGTCTCATTTGTAATGTATTAAAATGTTTACATTGTTTAACCGAGAGGTAAAACAATAAGGTAAAAAAAGCCTTACCTTTTCCTAAATGCACATATTTTGTCTCATAAGGTGAGTGCACATTCTGTTTGTTTTACTGAGACAGAAAAAGAAGAACCTGTTAACCTATTATTAGTATTAGTATTAGTATTAGTATTATATCATTGTTGGCTCTAGTGACATTTCAAAGTGTCATTCCCCCAGAAGGGAGATCAGAACCAAAGCAAATCCCTTTCAAACAGGGCTATAAAAATCTATAGTTTAAACCCCTAAACTATTGTGTAGTTTTAAGTCTTTAAGCTTCCTCATTTTGTCAGTTGTTGTTGTTGTTGTACAGCAAAGGCAGACATACAGTATCACTGCTGTACTACAGAATATATGGTGAGAAATACACAGCCTCAGAGAAGGTTCTTTTCATTTCAAGGTCATTTCTGAAACACTATTAAACTCATGCAGGGCTTAATGACGGAGAATGACTAAGAAGCTGATTTGATTAATCTCTTTGATATATTAATCAGTTTAATTATGAGACCCTATATTTCTATTCTTCTCTGCTAGTTTCGCCTGTGGCTGCTCGGTCTGGGTTTCAGCCTTGCGTACGGCAGCATGTTCACCAAGATCTGGTGGGTCCACACCGTCTTCACCAAGAAGGATGACAAGAAGGATAAGAGAAAGGTATATGTGACAGGGATTTAAAGCGGTGAATTTACGTTCAAGGAGTGAACAATTAAGTCCACTCCAAGCTTTCCTGCCAAGCCACAGGCTGTGCTTAATCATCATCCTCTTCAAGGGCAAGCTCCACGGCCGGAGATTATGTATTCCCCGTTATTTTTTTACATTTTCTCTCTGCCCTGCTTCTATAGCTGGCCCACAGTGGGATAGCTGCTTGCCCTTGAGCGTTGTGGAGCATCTATTTGTCATGCTGCTGGGCCAGCAAACTCTCCCAATTGGTCCCAGTATTAGAGGGTCTCATGTAGTTCTCCATCCTCTACCCTCCTGCCTGCCTCTCCTGTCTCTTGTATGTAAAACGACATGTCAGACAGGACGTCTCAGAGCAGATCTTCCCAGGAGAGAGATACAGTCCATTTCTTAATATTCAATAATATCCTTAGCAGAAGAAAACCCATCAGGTGGGATTATTTTATCGAGGGCTGTGTCAGGATTGATAGAGCTCACTTTAACTGACTCAATGCTGTAGCCTTTATCTCTAAACTGCATTTTAAACATTTAAAATCAGAACAGAGACAGAGAGTGTAAGCATGTTGGACACCTCTGTCATTAAGTGTTTGACTGCATCCACCAGCAGCTGTGGAATTTATGGCAGTATAAATATGAGATTAGTTGTTATGAAAGCTTTTCTAACAGAGCAGCTATCAGGCACTTACAAAATCCTATTTCCAGACTGAGTGTTGAAACTGGGCAGCTCTGAAGATAAGTGATTACCAAGAAGACACATATGAGACATGACAAGGCAAGAGATAGAAATCAATCAATGATTGTTGTGTCTCATTCCCAGGATTCCAAAGCATCTGTATTTGACACACTGGGAAGGAGAATTTTCGGCTCTGATTGGTGGTTTTTGTTCAGGCCCAGTGGATTATTGCAAATGCCATTAGGAGGTTAGGGTTATGTTGTGTTTAGCGTTGAGGTGAATTGGGGTACTGGGCCCTCTTTTGGTCCAATTCAGGTACTGGTAATATATAATAGAATATAGAATAACAATAAGAATAAATATTACTTCAATCATATTGGACACAGTGCTTCCTAAACATTAGCATTAATAGTTAATTGCAAATGTCCAATATGAACACAATTTCATAGAGATACTCAGTAGTTAGTTCTACCATTCCTTCCACTGTGAGGCCCCTGGCCATTGGAAGGTTTCCCGTTAAGAAACAGCTCTTGCCAAGTTGCACACACTGACAAAGAAGGAAGGATAAGGATAACTACTGTAAGTGTTGCTGTGATTGTGTGGATATACGGTGTAGAACAGATCAGATCCCACTGCTGTCTTTGCATCTCTCTCCATATTCTAGCTGAATAACCAGAAAGCTTTGATCTTGTGGAATAATGCAACAAAATCAATAACCACTTTATAGTGTTGGACCTGTTCCCACAAAATTTTTATTTCTTTAACACAGAATACATAAAGGAACACCTTTATTTATTGACTGAGTCGGGGAGCTGTGCACTCTCATCAGTATGGTCAGATTGAATTGGCCTCAGTTAGTGATGGATCATTGTTTTCTCGTACAGCTTAGTCTAGTCTATTTATGGCTTCATAAATCCCTCCCTCACAAAATCAGAAAGAGAGGATTTGTGCCTTTTTGCTGATCCTTCACTGTGCTGTCGTAGTGACCACCACCCCCCTGTTTCCCAGCAGCACCTGGAACCATGGAAACTCTATGCTACTGTCGGTGTTCTGCTCAGCATCGACATCCTGTCTCTCATGATCTGGCAGATTGTAGATCCTTTACATATCACCGTGGAGGTACGATCATCCATTCATTTTATTGGATTTGTACTGAGTTCAGCTAGTACTTTAAGGGCTTTGAAAGGAAATTATAATTCCACTGCAGACAATGGTGAAAATTGTCATTTGAAAAAAACTAAAGTAGAAAAATCTGTTTGAAAATGCATAATTACTGCCAAAATTAAAATAACTGACAAATAATTTGAATTATACTAATCATTTTGAATTCGAATTGTAGCAAATTTTTTCATGAAAATGCCTGCAATGGAAGGATGCTCTCAGGCCTCTTCTAAAGTAAATCATTATGAAAATGACAACGTAAGAAGGCCATTTCCATTTTATTTTTATTAAACTTTTCAGGTTTAGAATGGTTCAATTCAAACGCAAATGTTTAGTTTTTATGTTAAAATGTCACACACAGTAGCCATCAAAATAAAAAACTTTAAGAGGGTGACCCCTCTATATTTAGCATTTTTGCATAATAAATGACTTAAATATCCAATATGTAATATTTAGGTGGCTCTATTTACAGAATATGGCAGAAACTGAAAATAATATTCATAGGTATGTTTTCATTAGTCTATAATCACCTAAAAATAACAATTATTGTGTTTTTGTAACCTTAGAATGAGCTGTTTTTATCTACAGAGGGAGTGGGCCCTTTGCTATGGAGTCAGCCATGTTGACCTGCCATGTTTCTACAATAGTCCAGGATGGAGAAGCCAAACACTGGCTCTAGATAGGGTCTTCTGCGTTTTTCACCGCTACCATAGTTTCTCCTACAAGCTTGCAAAAAGAGGGTGGGCAACACAAGATGCCACTAAATCCTACGCACTGGTCCTTTAAACAATCAAATTTGTTGACAATTATTATTATTCATTTTCTGTCAAATAACAATCTATTTATAAAGTTGTCTCAACACATTTTCATTTTGGCATGAAATGAAAAAGGAAACTGGGTCTCAAAAACGTGCAGTGAAATGGAATTTGATTTACGTTTGGTTTAATGATTTAATTGTCAGCCACCGGCTTCCATATAGGTTAACCCGTCGCCAAGTGCTTGCTC